AGAAGCCGTGCCTTTGCCTCAACACAGGGAGACATGGCTCCTGCTAATTAAAAGCCAGACCTGTTTTACACTCCTGCAAATGACACCCCAGCATTTATTTCAGGCCACTTCTGAACATGTCATCAGTCCTTCTAATGGCGTTTGGGCAGGTTCTCGGCTGATTTCAGCTTACCATCCTACATTTACTTACACTGTGCCTACAGAGCATGTACGTTTTCGATTTCTCACTTTAAATAGGGGACTCCAGTTCTGTAGCGTGGCTGATGCATTAAATATCCACAGCCAAATTGCTTAATGCCCAGGTTTTTTATCCCCTTCAAATTAAAGCTTTTAAAACACCCAGACTCCATGCTGGCTGAATGACACACACAGGCTTTCTGCCGGCTCTGGGGGGCAGGCGATACTGGTTCCTGTCAAGTTCTAAATCTGGATGCTTTTTTTATAGTGGAACAACTAAAAGGAATTGCTGCCTTATGATATATAACTACTACTTATTATAGATTGATCCATTTTGCAGCAGGGAGGTGGAAGGCAGGGAGCTGTAGGGAGAACAAGAACCAATCTTAGACCTGAGAGAAAGTAACCTTCTAATTGCCTTTTCCATGACAGCATCATAAGCTTCTTTATGGCAGCTTTATTTCACAGTGACCTGCCACACTGCGGTAATTTTCCTGGTGTCACTCATGCAGGTTTAAAAAATGATTGGTTTTATGGCTTTTATTTGGGAATTTGTCAAGGTTTCACATTTGTGGAAGCCTTGAAGCAGTGGCCTAATAGTCCATAATTTGGTGTTTAAAGGGATATTGGTGGGTAACCTGCCTGGGCCCACAGGTGCCCACAGTGATCACATCCTTATGCCTGGTGGGGAAATCTCCATAATTTCTTTTATGCTCCTGTAAACCTTTGCTGTCAGAAAACTCCATCCCAGGTTCCAAAAGACTCCTGGCATCCCGAGATGGGAGAAAAGCCTTTCAAGCTTCACGATCAGGTTGCTATTTAAACCTAATTCCCGTGAAATGGACTTCAGGTGCTAGTAAACCCAGACTCAGGTCAGCGTACTCAGCAATCGAGATTTACGTACTCCTCTTATGACTCATGGTCTGGAAATGAAAAGTACTAGACTCTGAGTCCTCTCTCTCTCTCTCTCTCTTTAGGATCTCAAAGCTCCTAACAGATGTTTTTAAAGCCTCGGTTTTGAGGGCCGTTTTGGCCTCCTGCCACTGTGTGTGCTCTCAGGTTTAATGAAAATTGGTGCCTCCCAAGGGGGACAGACTACTCTCGTGGTGCCGTAGCTCGTTCTCTCTCTGCCAGAACACGCTGGGCCAGCGATGCTGCGTGCAAACACACACTCGCACACACACCTGCTTCCTCCCCAGCTCCCGTCTCCCTGGGTTGCCTGGGTTGGCCTCAGTTTGGTGCATACCTGCTGGTGTTTATCACGGTTGGCGTTTTTCCCCGTCGGTGGGCCTCAGCAGAGCCCCTGCTCATTTGAGCAGCGGGCGACTTTTCTGAAGTGACCTCCTCCGCGGGGCGAGAGATTTATGGTGGCCTTTGCTTTCCTGGTGTGTCGCGGCTGCCTCGTGAGCGGCATGGCTGTCAGAGGACGAGCAGAACGCATCCCCGAGTGAGCCTCCAGTATTGTCTTTGAACATATGTTCTTGATTAAATGAGAAGAGGAAAGTCTCTTCGTTTTTCTCATTTGGAGGTTAAAGTGGAGGGTTTGTCTAAAAACAGACTGCAGTAAATTGTGGGTTTATTTGAACAGTATGTCAACATTATTTACTCACGGAAAAAAAAAAATTTCCAATTGATAGGTTTCTTTTAATTACCTCATCCTGAAAGCTGCTCTCAACAAACAGCAAATATTTCAGAAGCCATTTGGATAAGCCTGGAAATGTTGAATTACTGGAAACCTGCCGAGAATAATACCTTTGAAAATGTTTCCGTAGTTCTGAGTATAAGAAAACTTGATTAGGAAACAGCTTGTCTCTGAGCAAACTGGGTACTGCCTCCTGTGATCTTGCTGGCCTCCTTGTAAAAAATGGCTTGCAAGATTCTTGCCTAATACTGATCACACCACCCTGAAAAACAGGTACTTTTTGGGGGCTGGGTATTACTGTCTGTCCTTCAGGCTAGAGTGACCTTGTTTAACCCCGCTTCAATACTGTCTTCCTCTTGGGTTCTGTCCAGGAAACACAAAAGCTAAATGAGAGACGGTTCAGTCATTGAGTGAGTTCTAGGCAAGTCCAAAAGCTCTTCTAACAAATCCAGGCAAAAGTATATTTTATCAGATAATGTTCTTTGACTTCATTGCTTGATCTTGACTAGATGCAAAAATGATCTGCTGTACACAACCATTCCTAGAACCCAAACCTGTGTGAGGGGATGAGGGAGGCAGCTGAGGAGAAGAGACAAAGAGCCTTATATATATATATAAACCAAGGCCCCATATATGCACATGCCCTTAGACCTATGTCCTTTTGTAACTTCCTTTTAAAAACTGCTTGTGATGTTTGCTCTGTGTGTGTATGTGTGCATGTATGTGTGTGTGTGTTTGTATATTGAAGGGATGGGTGGACTGGTAGGGGGAGGCCTTATGGGGCCTATAAATGAGGTGTTGGGGTGGATTTGGGGCCTACACGCTATGAGTCATCCTGGGTCTCAAGTCTTTGGGTGCATCCTGTACTTGGGGTAACAGTATATGCAGGAGCACATAGTATTGAGTTTATTCCTTAGAAAACTTCTAAACTGAGTATCTCATTAAGAGTATTTCATCTGAAATGGACATATGCAGGGCTGATCTCAGGACTGCTGTATGAGCTGGTAAAAATGTGCTAGTTGTTAAATATTGAAATACCTACTAGTTGGTAAATCTCTGCCTGAGACCCACTGAGTGTCCTACCACCACCCCAGGAGTACCCCAGCCTTCACTTCTAGGACCCCCTCACTGATCGCTTCTAAATCCAGCAACTAAAGACGTAGGCCCAGCAATATGGGGACCTCCAGGAGCTGACCTGGCACTACGGCTGGCCTTTGAGCCTCACACAATTACATATGCGTACATACGTGTGATTGCACAAGCCTGAGCCTGAGAGAGGCTGTCCTGCGGCCTGTCCAGATGTTGGTTGACCCTCTGGGCAGCCGGAGTCCCCAGCTCCCTTGGCCACAGAGTGGGTCTACATAGAGGAGGTCAGACAACAGAGACTTGCCAGGGCAGGCCTCCCTGTCATGCCAACAAAAATCACTTTTTAAAGGAAGTTTTGAGCCATTTGGGAAATCAAAGCTTCTTTCTTCCTACCCTTGCAACTCTCTCCCTCCACATACCAGTGTGAAGTCCAGCAGCCTTCACCGTGGAGACCAGCTCAGGAACAGAAGATGTAATTCTAGTCCCAGCTCCAACACTTAATAACTCCATGACCTTGGGCAAGGGACTTAACCTCTTTACACTGTAGTTTTCTCATCTGTAGAGTATTGATGTTGGACTGACTCGATTTCTTCCAGCTGTAACAACAAATAATTTTGAGTCCTTACATTTCTGTTTGCTAGCCCATTCACCCACCCTATCAATGGATATGCCACTTACACTTCAAGAAGAAAGAAAGGTAATATCATCTGTTAACAAATAATGTTTGAATAGAGTTAAGGTAGGAATGCTGCAAATTATGCACTGCAGTCTGAATGAGGGCGTTGACCTACACAGGATGAGGCTGGCTTGCTCCTCCCCTGCTTACCACGTGGATCAGGTCAACACAGGCGAGCTCTCTCTCCCCCAGAGCTCAGCTGAGGAAGCTGCATGCTGATGGGGCCAGGACCACTGATTCAGTTCCCGCTCATTTAAACATGGCTTTAACCATCTTTAAAATGTGTGTTGTGGATCATCTAGGGCCCCTAAAAAGTATGTTGAGATCATTTTCCCTAATAATAATAAGAAGAACTGATTTGCATTGACCCATTATTATTAATAGGGGAAATAATCTCAACAAACAAGCAACAATTACATATTCTTGACTTAGGGTGGCATGATATTCATGGCACATATTTGCAGTTTTTTTTATTTCTTGACTCATTTTGAGTATTGGTAGTTATAATTTATACATTCTGATATTTCCTCATGACTTTAAAAAAGTTTTAGTCTCTCAAATTGTAATTTTTTTTATATCTTGGGGGTAAGTTTAGGGGAAGGAAAGGTTCCACCTCTTTTGAATAAATATCAATTATAACTTAGGAACTAATATGCAGACATGCATTTTATGGATTTTTATTATCAACCTATTCCCTACATGAAGATTATATTTCATCATACAACATTAAAAGTATCAACGAGGATAACTAGGATTAAAACACTGTGATACCTACTGTTGTTTGCTGGTAGGAGGATTGGTTCAAACTTGTTAAGGACAGAAGAATTTATAGATCTATGTGTGACTCAGTGGTTTTCTGAGAAATTTAAGTTCTGGCCTGACTTAAATATCTACATGATTCAATGCCATGGTCTTGATAGACAAACAATTGTGGTTTTTTGGGCCACCCTTGTTGGTTTTTAAGAAAGTAACTTCTTAATCTGCATTCTCATCTCATTCCTCTATTTCAGTTTGGCTTCTTTTCTTGTACCCTTAAACAAAAATCCTACTAGGCTTTACTCAGCGTTACAGATCACAGCCGGCTTTTTATCACAAGCAACACTCAGACACTTAATAAAAGAATTTAAGCTAAGGAAAGTCTAGAATTAGGAAATCCTAGAGTTTGTCCCTATTAAACATCCTTCTTAATTTAAGAGCTAAAAAATTGACAAATGACACTTCCAGATGATGGACTAAATTCAAGATCTACAGATAATTGCCAAAGTTCATCACGAATAAATGACTGTTCCTGCAGTAATTTAACCTCTGTCAGAGTCTCATGCCGAGGATTTGTTAATCATTGTTGTAATAACATTTTAGCTTTGGTCCAGGCTTTCCTATAATGCCAAACTTACCAACTCATGACTTTTCCTCCTTCAGGTGTGCTCAAAAGAACCTACCAGATGCTGTGGTAAAATCGAAGCCTAATCCATCAAGGCTTGGCAATGAAGAAGGACTCTGCACCGTGGCGGGACAGCTAAGCCTCACAGCCAGCACTTGTTCCCAGGACTCCTCTTCCCCTTGGGGATTTCTTACTTCCTGTGCTGTTGGCGCCACACTAATCCCTGTAGGACACTCCTCCAGCAGCGCTTGGGCCCACAGGTGACTCAACTGTCTCCTTAATTCTTCAAAACACACACAGCATGGCTGGGACCAAACTGGAACTTTTAAACAAAATTTTTGGACATCGAAAGATTTGGGATAACAAAAGGGAAATACGTGCTAAGGGTAACATAAAAACAGATGATCTGGTTTGCAAGATTCAGCTGTTCACCCTGTTTCTGCCTCCACTGGAGGAAATCTTCAATCTCCACCACTTGGTCACTCTCTGGGAGGTATTGGGATCCCAGTGCCTACCCCTTCAGCGGACATTCAACCCCTCCCCTGCAGAGCCTTGTTCCGGGACCCCTGCGGCATCAGAGTGCACCTGGGTTGGCTCAGCAGCCCAAGGGACACACAAGAGGAGAAAGGGTGTTGATGTTTGGGCACTGTAGGAAAGTGGGCCCCAAATGCTTTCTTTTAGAAATGGTTCTTACTCTTTTTATGTTTACAACATACTTGCAAGTGTCAGGGCTTTTGTCGTACACTGGATGAAACTGAAAATTAAGGAGTCAGCAACAGTTATAAAATAATCATTTCTATAATCTGTAACAGCTTATACTAGTTGTGTTTTACCACTTTGCTGCTGTTGAGTAGGATAGTGTATTGATCTGACTTATTCTCCCCAGGCCTCTGAAGGCAAATGCTCCCTTGTTCCAGTAAACACCTTTTTCTTCTGGTCTGCTGTCACCACCACCTCACGTCCATCCTAGCAAGTTGTCCCTGTTCTACAATCACGTTGCTTCTGCCCGGAGCTCCATGGTCCATCTGATGGATGCCCTAAGAACAGGCGTCATACTCAGGTGTCCGGAGCCGCAGCTCCTGATGGCTGCCACAACCTCACATAGCCAGCCTGAGATGGATGCCTGGTCATGATCGGGAGACAGAAAGTGCATACTTTCTGTTCCCCCGAAATGACATAGCCCCCAGACCCTTTACTGCCTTCCTTATACGGTTATCCTTTGCCTCTCGGAGAAACCCGCCGAGCTACTGGCATATAAGTCTGCACTCTGTTCCTAATAAACGAGACTTGATCAGACTCCTGTCTTGTCTCCATTTCTTGTGTCTTATGCCTTTCCCAGGTCCCACTCCCTCCTCCGAGGATCCCACTAATAACTGATCCTGTGGGTCGGGACACTCAAGTGTCACCAAAATAATTTGCACACTGTTCAAACTTGGCTAGCACACTTACACAGCTTCCCCTGACATACCAAAGTGCCACAGGTCCCTGGTTCACAATCATTGCACTGTTATTAGGGTAACTTGAACAAGATCAGAATTTTCATACTACATATTTATGACTAATCTTGTTATATAAACTTGCTTTTAGTATGCATATATAGGTATATGAAAAGATATTTGCATTTAAATTTCCTCCATGTGTGTGAATTTAGATGTATGAATTTAGGAGATGTGCGTGTATGTTTCGAATAAACCGTATATGGCGAGGAATTCTGGCTTAAACACAAAGATCTATGGACGACTTTCTCACTGTGGGCCCTTGGGCGTTGTAGTGTTGTGACTACCTCGAAACAAAGGGAAATGTTTTGCTATGAATTTCCTGTTCCTGGAAAACTACACCGTGGGAAAAAAAAAAAAATCTCTTTTTCCCTCTTGAGAACTATCCGTGTGCCAAAGTAAGAAAAAGCCCTCGAAAGGATGACTCAAGCTTCCCCCGGCATCTTCTCCTCACCTCCAAAGTCTAATAATTCTGAAAAAGAAGAAACGGAAGAGCACTTGTCACTAAACTTCTCAGCACTTTAAAATAGCCAGACGCACTGCCTGCAACTATGTCAAGTTTGGACTCACACCAGCCGTGAAAATACTCTGTCTTTTTTTAGGAAGTCAATTGCATACACATTACAAAGAGTCTTCTGAAAAGTGGCTGGCTTTTTGCTTTGTCTGAACGACTCGCGCGTCGGCTTTAACCGTGCTCTGAGCCCATAAACACGTCCTCCTGCTCGCCAAGCTTCCCCAGCTCTGCGCGGTTGCCAGAGTGGCGGCGTGTAGCTGTCGGTTGCTAGGAGGGCAAGACCGCTCAATCCCAGGCTGGGAAGGGATATGGAGATGGTTTATGTAATGTCCTTATTTTCTAAATGGGGAGATTGAAGCTCAGAGAGGCCACAGGCTGGAGGCCACAGGCTGGAGGCCACGAGCTGGTCTATAACAGACTGAGAGCCGGTCGATTCCACTTCCTCAGTTGAGTCAAGGCTGTAACTCCTGCACCACTAGTGAAGCCCTTTGGACACTGCCAGGTGCCATGTAAAAATGCAAGGTGTCCGTGGATGGCTGAAGCTGCCAGAAGTTTGTCTGCTACTAACAAAGGTTTCAGGGGAAGAGGAACTCTTTGCTTCAGCCCACCCCCTCCATCCCTGACTTCTAAGACAGCTGAGAAAGACAAGCACCCTTGAGCCTCGTTATCAAAATCTTAAGAATGTAAAGTCTGTGATAACTTAAATGTGAACACATAATTGCTATAGAATAACAACTTAAAAATGAGCATTTGTTTTCAAAATGTTGAGTGCTTATAAGAGGAATTTTGTCTAAAATCAGTAGTTCAGAAAATGAAGGATTTTACTAAAATGGCTTCATCCCCTAGATTGAGCATCTTATGCGAGAAGGAAAAGAAAATATAGTGCTTATGACGTATTATCGTGCAACTTCTGAGGCCCAGGCACTTGTGATGGTTTTCATTCATTTCATTCACATTAATTTTAGTGTGAATTAATTCTTCCTTTAAATACAAGCTGGATTGTTTGATGTTGTGATCACACAGAAGTGATAACATAAATGATGCACTCTTTTGATTCTGTAACTAGCTCTCACACACTGCATTGTTCTGGTAAACCCTCATTTACCTCTCACCCCTTCTCTCAGTGTGTCCAAATTATGGAGGTTCAGGTATGCATTATTTTCTCAATAAAGTCAGAAGTCCACCAGAAATGGAAGAAATCTATTACATGCAGAGCCACTTTCTTTATGACAACCTGACTCCTTCCAGGCTCGATCTTTCTTTCAAGAATTTGAAAGAAATTCAAGAATGTCACTGAGAAAGAGTCTAGACTTGTGGCTAAAATGTAAGTGATATAAACTCCAGAACTTTGCATGGAGAAGCATGAAAGACAGAGGAAAAGAGAGATACTTCCTTGTCTCCCGGGGCTGTTCCAGTTCCCAGAGCGCTATGCAGCTCTTAGTATCCTAGTGAATTTTCCTTTTAGGAAAAGATAGCTCAAATTGCTGTCTCTTATTTAAAACCAAGATAGCCTTGACTAGAACAGAGAGCTGTCTAGTTTTGTAGTATTTCCTGCTCATGCAGTTGTTTATGTTGTGAGAGGAGGTGGAAACAGGAGTAATGGAGAGAGGGTTACTGCATTGGTCAGGGTTCTGAGTTGCAGACAACAGGCTCCACTAGAGTAAGTCTAAGCAGGAAAGAATATATTAAAGAGTATTGGATAGTTCACAGAATCTATGAACAGAACAAGTCTTAGAAGCTTCCATAACTGAGAACAGATCGGGCAAGTATAACAAATCCAGAAGAATTGCCCGACTACACCATGGGATTGCTTTTAGAGGTACCTGTGATGTTAGGAACTAGATGGCAGACACGCTTTCACAGCTACCCCAGGAAAAGCCAAATGCTTCTTCTACCATGTTTATTTGAAAAGCCGTCGTCTCACTGAGAGTTCAGCCACTGCCTCTAGTTACTCATTTCTTCCTCCAATTCTCCAGCTGGAGGATTTGGGGTGGGGGGACAATAGGTCACATGCAGAATCCTAACTACATGAAAGTATGGGAAATAAGTTGTGTGTGTGTTTTTTTTTTTTTTGGAGAAGTCAAGGCTTTTAATTTACCCATCATCTGAATAATAGTGTACATTGTACTCAGTAGGTAATTTTTCATCCTGCACCCCCTCCCAAACTCTGCCTTCTGAGTCTCTAATGTCCATTAAGTCACTCTGTATGATCATGCCTGCCCATTGCTTAGCTCCCACTTATAAGTGAGAACCTACAGTATTTGGTTTTTAGATCCTGGGTTATTACTTCACTTAGAATAATGGTCTTCAATTCCATGCATGTTGCTGCAAAAGATATTATTTCATTCTTTTTAATAGCTCAGTAATATTCCATGGTGTATATATATATACCATGTTTTCTTTATCCATTCATCAGGTGATGGACACTTAGGTTAGTTCTATATCTTTGCCATTGTGAATTGTGTTGTGATAAATATACAAGAACATATGTCTTTGTGTTATAATGACTTCTTTTGTTTTGGGTAGACCTCCAGTAGTGGGGATTGCTGGATCATATGGTAGGACTACTTTTACTTCTCTGAGGAATCTCCATAGTTTTCCATAGAAGTTGTACTAATTCACATTCCCTCCAAGAAAGTATAAGCTTTCTCTTTTCACTATATCTGTGCCAATGACTGTTGTTTGTGATTTTTTAACTACTTCAGGACCAGCATCAACTATAGCCGGTAGCCATAGATGAACGAGCACAGTGACTTTAGCTGACAGCCGTGATATGACTTTTCTAATTTTTCATTTCTCAAAATTGTGAACATTTAAAAATAATGTCTCTGTTACCTATTCTGATTTACCTTACAAGTAAAGCTGCCTGTAAAGTAAAACAAGCTTTCAGTGCTTTAAAGCTTTCCTCGTCACGCAAGAGCAAAATGGATTCGTTCATCCATACACAGCACAAACTATCGTGCAGACTATGAGTGCCGGCTGTGGGCAAGGTTTCACGCGGCCAGTGAGCGCCGTACCAAAGTGGTTAATAACAGCCATTCTAACAAGGGTAAGGTGGTATTTCTTTGTGGTTTTAATTTGCGTTTACCTGATGATTAGTGATGTTGAGTATTTTTCATATGTTTGTTGGCCATTTGTATATCTTCTTTTGAAAAATGTAGGTTCATTTTTGCCCACTTTGTAGTGGGGTTATTTATTTGTTTCTTGCTGATTTGTTTGAGTTCCTTGTCGATGCTGGATAATAGAACTTTGTCAGATGTATGGTTTGTGAATATTTTCTCCCATTCAGTAGGTTGTCTATTCTGTTGATTATTTCTTTTGCTCTGCAGAAATTTTTAGTTTAATTAAGTATCATTTGTTTATGTTTGGATTTTTTTGTATTTTCTTTTGGGGTCTTAGTCAAAAATTCTTTGCCTAGGTCAATGTCCAGAAGAGTTTTTCCTAAGTTTTCTTCTAGATTTTTTTTTTTTTTTTGGTTTTAGGCCTTACATTTAAGTCTTTAATCCACCTTGAGTTAATTTTTGTGTATGGTGAGAGACAGGGATCCAGTTTCATTCTTCTGCATGTGGCTTTCCAAATTTTTCAGCACCATTTATTGATGAGGGGGTCCTTTACCACTGTATGTTTTTGTCTGCTTTGTCAAAGATCAGTTGGTTGTAGGTGTATAGTTTTATTTCAAGGTTCTCTATCTTGTTCTATTGCTCTATGTGTCTACTTGCATACCAGTACCCTGCTGTTTCAGTTACTATGGACTTATAGTATAATTTGAAGTCATATCATGTGATGCCTCCAGATCTGTTATTTTTGCTTAGGATTGCTTTGGCTATTTGGGTTTTTTAAAATTCCATATGGAATTTAGGATGGTGTTTTCTAATTCTGTGAAAAATGATATTTATATTTTGTTGGGAATTGCATTGCATCTGTAAATCACTTTGAGCACTATAGAAATTTTAATAATGTTGGTTCCTCCAACTGAGGAGCATGGGACTACAGTGCTTTGCTTTCTAGCCTACAGTAGTATAGGAAGGCAGACTAGGAAAGGGTTGGAAAGAGTGTTGAGCAAACCAATGCATAGTATCTTCCTCAATTTTCATCACTGTGTTATGGAGAAAGAAAAGTGGAATTCTCCAAATGTCTTTCAGACTACCAGAACTATATGCATAATTATATATCTATGAGGAGAATAGGGAGGGGAAGGGCAGAGTGTAGACCCATTAAACTATAGATTTGCAATGAGAATGATATAGTTATGACATATATTGATATATTTTTGGTTTTTGTACCTC